AATAAAAAAAAGTTTAAAAAAAGAAATAAAAGAATCATTCAATCGAAAAATGAAAAAAATGTTAACAGTAACTACCATTAATTGAACATTTACCATGTTCATTGTGTTAAACACTGCATAGATTATGTACTTTAATCTTCAAAACCTTCAGAGGTCAATATTCTTTCCTCAGGTGAGGAAACTGAGGCACAGAGAAACTGAAAAAATTTACCTTAGGTCGCATGCAAAAATTCAAACCCAGTTTTCTGTGATTCCAGAACCACCTTAACCAGCAGTTCAGGTCATACCAATTGAAAGATCAATGTATGGGACATTGCAATCTGGGGCAGAAGCATTATTATTTAAGTTCCTTAATACATCAATGCCTTGAAAGTTAATAGTATTAAAAAGAAGACCAAAGAGAAGAGAACAGTACAGTATCTCCAGCCCAGATTTGTCTCCTGAGCTCAGGCTCATTTATCCATTTGCCTCTTAGACAGTGATGTGTTGATTAATGTTTAATTACTGTTTGCAGAGTGAAGAAGGCCTTGATTCATAGCATTTGCCAACTTTTGTAGTTTAAATAGTGCACACAATTTTGGGGGGCTGATTTCTAGCTCCAATCTGACACCACTAAAGGGAAGAGATATGCAGTAGCTCATATGGTATTGCCACCATATGAATACAATAGACATCTAGCCTCACAGATAATAGTAAGGTGTAGGTGGTGATGAGTTTTGAGTCCTGTTATCTTTGTTTTTAAAGGAATTTATTTAATTGTACATTTATACAAATTAGTTTTTAATAATGACCATGTTTAAAATTCCTGCAAATTTAACAATTGAGTCTTGCAAGTCAGTACAGTTCTCAGCACACCCTTCCTCCTGGACAGCATCCCTAGAGCATCAAAAAGTCAATGTAGACTCAAAACGTTCACATGATCTCATGGTTTCCTCAAATCCTTCTCTTTTCCTAAGTTCCTTATTTTCATATATGGACTCCCCACCCATTTGTTCAAAGCTGGAACATACACATTTCTCTTCCTCACTGAACACATTTAACTGGGGCAGAGAAAAAGCAACAGAAAGTCATGTAGTTGCAGTCTTTCTCTCTGCTCCTATTGCTTGCTGGATTTGTGTTAGAGCTCTTCTCTCTTATGCAGAATCCCAAGACTAGCAAAGGAAGAAGGATTTTAGAAGCCAGAAAGATCAGATAAATCCTGATCATGGCTATAATCAAAAAGACCACATACAACAAACATTGGTGAGGATGTGGAGAAAAGGGAATATTTGTGCACTGTTGGTGGGAATGTAAATTGGTGCAGCTACTGTGGAAAACAGTATGGAGATTCCTCAAAAAACTAAAAATAAAACTACCACATAGATCCAGCAATTCCATTCCTGATGTTTATCTGAAGAAAACAAAAACACTAATTCAAAAGATACATGCACCCCAATGTGCACAGCAGCATTATATACAATAGTCAAGATATGGAAGCAACCCAAGTGTCCATCAACAGACAACTGGATTAAGACGACGTCTATATATACAATGGAATATACACTATACTATACTATATATACTCAGCAATTAAAAAGGAATGAAATTTTGCCATTTGCAACCACATGGATGTGCCTAGAGGGTATTATGTTTAGTGAAATAAGTCAGACAAAGACATAAAATCTGTGACCGCTTACGTGTAGAATCTAAAACATAAAACAAATGAATGAATATAACAAAACAGAAACAGACTCACAAATGTAGAAAACAAACTAGTGGTTAGCAGTGGGGAGAGGTAAAGGGGAGGGGCATTAAGATTAATTAATTAAGATTAAGAGATACTAACTACTAGGTATAAAATAAATAAGCAACAAGAATATATTGTACAGCACAGGGAAATAGAGCCATTATTTTGTAATAACCTTAAATGGAGTATAATCTATAAAAACATTGAGTCACTGTGTTGTACACCCAAAACTAATAAAATAATGAAAATCAACTATACTCCAATTAAAAAAAAAACTAACCAGGAGAAAATTTGGGATTGTATATTAACTGCAGACAGAGAATTTAAGACAAAAAGGATCATGAACAATAAAGGGGATCTTCTCCTAATGATGAAAAATGCAATTCACCAGGAACATATATTTGATTTCATTTAATACTCATAGATCCAAAATAAAGAAGAAGTGACAGCACTACAAAGACAAATTAAGAAACTCACCATCATAATGGTAATCTATATAGCACACCAATAAAAACAAAGTAAAGACAATGGAAGTCTGAATAATGTAGTTAACAACCTTGGCCTGATGCATGAGTTAGCAAATTTTTTCTTTCAGCCAACTTTTTCTATGAGGAGCCAGCACTAGAATATCTGAGACTTTGTGGGCCACGTGGTTGATGCCATCATAGTGCAAAAGAAACCACAAACATCAGTGAATTGCCATTGTTGTATGTGTCAGTGGGGCAGGGAGGCAGTGCGTACATGTATTTATGTTATTATTAATGTTTTTTACCTCTCACATACATTATAAATATTCTTGTCATATATTCAAATTTTAATTTGTTTTGCAAAAAGAGTTGGGATAAGTAAGCAAATTCTTATTTAGAAGGAAGGAAGGAGGAAGGGAAGGGAGAGGAACCATTAGGAGTGTGTAAGGTCTGAGTTGCTTGTAGACATCCAGCAAAGAAGAGATTGGGCGGGGCAACAGTATTTGGGTAGGGCCACAGAGAGGAGGGGAGTTTTGAAGTGAACATTGAAGAATTGATTGGATGGGATACAGTGAAGAGATGGAGTGGAAGTTAAAGGAGTCTTCACAAGCAAAGACAATATGAAGGAGTCAGCCCAGAAAGAATCTAAAACGCAGGTGGTCATCTCTGCCTCAGGCCAGGCTCAGGAGACAGAGGGGAGGCCGGTGTCTGTTGGGGAAACCAGAGGTGACGGACAGTGATGCTAGCTGACAGAGACCTGGCAGAGGGAGGGCCCCCCAAAACCAGGAAACATCAGAGAGGCTGCCTGAGGAGGCCCAGCCTGTGGTAAGCAGTGTCCCCTCTGAGGAGTGGGAAACTCTGGCCCTCCCGGACAAGCTAGAGCCGCCTGAGCCCCTCGGCCGATGTAAATCCAGGCTTCATGCTCCTGCCCTGTCAGAAGTGCCCACTGGTGCTTGGAGAAACCCCTGCTT